TTTTGCTACAAGTGCATCTTAAGATCATATTTTCCTTTTTTTGCAGCTGTATCATATTGCAGGCTCATGTTGAGCCTATGATCCACCAAGACCCCAAGATCCTTGTCCACCGAAGTTTATCCAGGCAGTAGTCACCCATTTTATATTTGTGCTTTTGATGATTATTCCCAAGGTGTGGCACCTTCTACTTCTCAGCATTGGACTCCCTGTTGTTTGTAGCCTGGCTTTCCAGTTTGCCAAAATCTTTCTGAATTGTACTCATGTCCTCCAGTTTGATTAAATTTTTTCCAAGGATTGCTTCCCAGGAATACCTGGGCAGTAGTAAAAGCTGACCAAAGGATGCAGTTAACACCAATCTAACAGGAATATTAGTAATATTAATAAAATTAGTATTTTAGATACTTTGTGTAACAGGAAACTTTCTATTAATGCATTAACTAACTCTTTCCCCTTGTTATGTTTTAGTTAAAGCTATTTGATATTGGCATAGCATAGGAATTAAACAAGACCAATGACCATTGAATATATACACACTCATGATATATAGACAAATCTTTGTCCCTTATACTCCTGACATAACATTTATCCTCTTATCTGGACCTTTTACTGCTGAGTGCCTAGTCCTGTAAACAGCAGATAGTTTTAGTTCTTCCAAACTAGCTTAGCTATGGCTAGGACACAAGTTCATATTCTTCTGTTGTATAATTCTCCATGTTTCTACTTATTTTTATAGCATAGCTTTCTTAATAATGGCTTAAATTGAATCTGGAAGCTAGTTGTAATAATCTGATAAATTGAATCCATGTGAAACTGCAGATTCAAATACTGTTCTTCCTTTCTTGCATTCATTCAGAGCACCAAGTGTGCCCTGGGTTATTTTGTGTGTTGGCAAAGGGTTACTGTAGACCAAAAAAAAGTTCTACACTATTCTGTGAATTCTCCCATACCTACCAAAAGTTGGGTTAGAGATTTGTACATTTTAAGTAGACACTAGGATTTCCTGGAAAGCTTTCAGGATATTAGTAATGCTAAACTGAATAGGCTTTTAAATATGAGTCCTTACTAACATTTATGAAACCTAACTGAAATTATCCCTGCAATTATGGTACTTTTCATTTTCTCCCATCTTCCTTTCAAATAATTTTTGCATAGCAGTTATGTGAAGCTGTCTTAACCTTTGTTTAGTTCTCTTGGGTGTTCAGTGCATGCAGTACACAGCTAACTGTCATACAGTCAAATCTATTATTAATGCTTTTTCCATAACACACACCTTAGTGAGTACAATGTGAGTGCTTTTCATTCTACAAACATCATTGAAGTGGACATGTAACATTAAATAAAGACTTTTTCCAACCCCGTGTCCTAAATTAGGTTCTAGGAGATGAGAGAATTTTTTTTCTGTGAAGAAAATAATTGTCAAAAATGGCTAATTTTGATCTAAAGTACACTGCTATAACTTCACTGAGGTCAGTGAAATTATTGTTGTAAACAGTTAACTCTACTGTGACTGAAATTGGAATCTGTCCCTGGAAATGCTATTGAATGTTTCATCACTATGCCAGAATATCACTATTAATCAGTGAGGCTATTCTTCTGGAATTGTCTTGCCATATAGCCTTATGAATGAAGAGCAAATTTCCCTTCCTTATTTGGAGAATTGTTCTATGTAGTTTTGGGAAGATACTGTCAATTGTGTAAAATTTATGGAGAAAATGAAATGAAAGTAGGAGATAAATTTGTCTCTTTTCAAAAACTTTGTACCTAGAGTTCTTCTCAAGGGCTAAGTTCTCAAGAGCATCGAGATGAATCTGAGACTGAATTTTGCAAAATATTTTGAGAGACATCACTTGTTTAAAGGAGAGAGAATTCTGCTGATTTATCAAGATTCCTATCGTGTGATGCATTTGAGTACAGTTTTATCTATTATTTCAATATTTTGTTTGCTAAATTCTTTAATTAAGCTGTCGTATGAGTTTGTCTGAAGTTGATTTCTCCTGTCTCACCCTTCCCAGTTGTGAGAATATGAAGTCCTTTTGGCTTGCATACCATATATAAACATTTCATTCACCCTATGGAAAACAATAGGCTCTAAATCTGGTTGCAATCTCAATTAAAATATAGAAAATCTCATACATATGTTCCTTACAATGAAAGGTAACTAAAATAAGTTTATTTTAAACCAATGTGCATGCTTGCCAAAAAAAAAAAATGTTTGGCTTTCATGGCCTTGGCTTCCTACTTTTTCATAAGTTTTTACCTTTTTATGATTATTTAACTCTTAAACATGTTTCTGTTCATGACCAGCCTTGGTGACTTTTGTGTTGACGATTTTGAATTAACAGCCGCATAATTTGTTTGCAAATGCATTTTTATGTTGTGGGCATGAAAATACTGTTTTATGAGCAGTTGTGAGAAGCACAGAGGCATTTTTAGTGTAAATGTCAGTTTTTAGAAATACATGAGCTGTGATGGATATTCAAGAGGAGGAAAATATGAATAGAGAAAAGTCCCAAGCAAACTGAAAGCCCCAATCTCCTTCTCTTCTCTTGGGGATATAAACATTAATGAGGGTTGGTTGGTTTGCTTTTGGGTGTCTTTTATTAATACAGGCTTGTTGTTATCTTTAAAAAAAATGCTGACAAATACAGTAAAGGGGGCTGGGTCAGCATATGAGACAAATACCAGGAATAGAAACATTGTGTCAGCCTCTAAAGGAAAGTGGATATTTGACTTTTGTTGCTGCATAGCAACAACCCTTCTCCACTCCCTTCCCCCCCATCCCAAAAAAATCTCTCCACTTCCCTCCCCTTCCCCTTCCCCATCCCCATACTACTCCCCAGACAAAACCAAACCAAACAAAAAGTTTTACAGCTGGCTAAATAAGATGTGGGGCTTGAGGTGCATATACAGTTAACATATGGAAAATACCGTCTTTCCATGGTAAACGATGGGTGTATGAGACCAGCATTAAAAATTGGGAATGCCAAATATGTGTGCTGTATGTTAGCCTTGGTTTAGTATTTGTTTTGAAAAAATAAATTGTTAAACAACTAAGGCCAGCTTTTTCTGGGAAAAGGGTTTTCATGCCCTAAAGGAAGATGGGAAATTGGTACACGTGGGAATGAAAACTGTGAACTCAGTTTTCAAAATCCTCCAGAACTTGCCAAAACTGATTGGACAAATGTTGGAGCATGCAACTGTTGTAGGAGACTGCCAGGAAATCATGTGCTTAGACAAGATCCAATTGTTGGCAGCACCAGATTTTTGGTCCACCTGTACTTAAAATCAAGCTAACGGGCATGTTGGATGAGCATAGATATTAGGTATTCAGGGTCTGCTTTGATAGAATTAAGTAAACATGACTCTTGGAAAAGGTTAACTTTTCTATCACTTTATCCATCCTCAGAAAGTACTAAAAGGCACGTCAGGTGTTTATACAAGTCCTAGTTCCAACAGCTTGTATTTATGTGCAGATCTTTGGCTGGATATCATAAAACAGTACTAATCTTATCCATTGCTACTGTGGCATGAATTCAGTACATTTAACTTGCAAATGTACCCCAGAACTTGCCTGTCTCTCTCTTCTAGCCGGTTGATGAGTAGTTGCGCTGAATACCCAGCTTCCGTCTCCTGTTCCTTTTTAAGTTCAGGACACCAGTACTTTTTCCAGTGTGTGATTGTGTGATGGTTTACTCCAGTTTCAATGGCTTTCCATGAAGAGGGAAAATAACACTCATATATTCATATGTTTTCAGAAGTTTATCTTGTCAGCATTTGCATTATATTGTAGATATATCACTTACACACACACCCCACGTATATGTTTTGTAATAATTCAGATGTGTAGTTCTTGTGTCATATGTTGTCTCATGGACACATCTGTATAAAGCTGAGCTAGTGACCTGCGATTTGCTCTTTCCACTGCACTGTTAATTATGTATGCAAGGTAGAAAAGGGCATTAGGAGGGATCCCATCAACTTGAAATAGCACTTCTGTTGGAATGTAATTTTACTTAAGTGTGTTATTGATTTGGGTTAAAGAAGATATTTTTCTTTGTTATCTTGTTTATTTAAGATTTTATCTATAGACTTTTTATAAGCTCGGCCATCTTGGATAATCAAGTTTTTTTTTCTTCTATTAAATATTTTTCTATGCAGCAACAAAAGTCAAATATCCACTTAATGTAGGTAGCCCATTGAGCTAACACAGATAATGTATGTCAATTTTCTGTAGCCAAAAGCACATCCAGGAGAAATGCCACAAATGTTCTCTCATTGTCCTTGACTCTCCAGTCCAAGCGATTAGTCATATACATTTGATTCAGCTGAGGCAGTACTGGGTCAGATTCTGGAATGAGACTCAAACGCATTCCTTTGGAACTGTTTTAAGATGCCTTACATACTCTTACGTGCAGTAACAAGGGGCAGAAAAAGGAATTGGCAAACAAACAAAAGATAGTTTTAATACATTGAAACTACTCTTAGGACCTTATTAAGTTTAAAAATGAAAGTTACTATGTTTTATTTTGACTCAACCTTTACCTTTTAACAAGGAGGAATGAATGGGTGGTTCAGGAAATGAAGGAAAACAACCTCTTATAAATCATGGAAATAATGAGGCATGAACGAAACCTCACCTTGATCACTTTGCCTATGTTTGCTTCCTTTCCCCTATTTGTGTTCTTTTAAACTAGAATTTGTTCTGCTCAACCGTCCACAGCTCTGCTGTGTACTGAATTTGAGAGGAACGTGCTTTTTTCCTTGGGTGTGCATCTGCTCAGTGGTGAACGTTCCTGGAACAAATTAGGCATATGTCTGTTTAGGGGCACTGAGGAAAACCAGGTTGCAAAAATAGTGTTGACCTATTGTGTTTTTACCATACTACCTTTAAGTAGTTTTTGTAAAATCTGGTACCGTGTATGTGAGAGGTTTATCCAGTGTGTATCTATGTCTATACCTATTATGATTAAAGAAACAGAAACCACAATTGATGTCTCTTCATTTTTTATAATTGTTATTTTTTTACTTTGGTAGGCTTGGATGATTGCTTGCAGCAGTATGTCCATAAATTTGAACGGGAGAAGATAAATGGTGAACAGCTGTTGCAGATTTCCCATCAGGAACTTGAAGAATTGGGGATCACACGAATTGGACACCAGGAACTGGTTCTAGAGGCTGTGGATCTGCTCTGTGCACTGGTCAGTTACATGGGGAACAAATATGTGATTTTTTAAGTAATTCTTTTTGCAGGCTTAGTGATGGTCTCTTGTACTAAGACAGATGTTTGGTATATAACTTTGTTTCTTTATTATACAGCATGTAGAGAATGGAACTAGTAAGAATTTAAACAATTTTATACAGTGTCATATTAATATTTTTCCAGATAAAATACCAATAGTAATAGGCTATATTGGTGAAGAATTAAGTTGTTTAACTAGCACTCAGTCATGAGGTTCCTATTAGCTTACACTGAGGCTAGGAACAGACATCACACTTTTTCCTGAACAAGTGCTTTGTGTTTTCTCATGTAATCCTGGGATTAGTGTGTACACACATCACTCTTTTAATCAAAGTTTAGTAAGTGGCTGAATGCATTGCTGTTTTTCTGTCATTGATTCAATAATGCAATCCAGGAATAACAATTCAGATGTGCTTTTTGATGTCCTGGGATAAACTGTTAATAATTTGTATCCTGCAGACCTTTTTTTAGGATTTATCCTGGGACAGTGGACATAGACATCTGAATGATTTCACCTTTTAAAATGGTTTATCCCGGGATAAATGCTGTGTCTGTTTGTAGCTAGAGAAAATTACCGTATTTACTCACTTACCACATGCACACCTCCCCCCACAACCCCATTAGCCTGCAATGTGTGTCTTAAGTGGGGAAGCTAACGTTCTGGCCGGAATATCAGGAGTGACATTTCTAATTCAGGCAGTTCTGAGGGGAGTCAGTTGACTTTGTGGCTCCTTAGAATCTGCTTGATTCATGCTAATTTTTCTTAACTTGAGGTGTTGATGAACATCTTTTCTTTTTTAATAGTCTTCATGTTACACTTATCAAACTATCCTTTCTATGGCAGTTTTGCTGAAGAATTCATGATTTAACTACTCCTATTTCCTAGCCTGGCAGACTTTTTTTTAGTTTTTCAAAATCCTACATCTGCCTATGGAGTCCAGTCTTCAGCAGCAGCTACAGTTTCAGCTGCTAATCTTTCTGCTTTAAAATGGTTAAAACTGTAGCTTTTGCCTGAGCAGGAAAGAGAAGGTGAGCGAGTTGAAGATTAGGCTTTCTGCCTGCTGTGTGCAGCCATAACGCTGGAAAAATCTTTTCTTTTCATTCTGTCTTCCCCAAAACAAGGTGCATGTCTGATTTGGGGGTATGCTGTATGCAAGAAAATATGGTATTATCCAATAGAGTGCTTTTGTCACAAAAAATGACACTGTTGATATGACAGGAGGTAATAATTGGTCACACGAACTAAGCTAGGTTAGGCAAATCTGTAAGCTATATGCTGGGGTGTTAAACATACAGTTTGTGGTCTGAATCTGACCAACAGAGACCACTTAATCTGGCCCACTGACCAACCAGTAGGTTACCATAAGTTGTGGGGCATACCCGGAGGAGTAGCTTGCCTCAGAATCTGAGGCTCTTGGGCCCTGGTGGACATAGCAGTAGGCAGCAGGAGAGCAAGTGAGGGCTGACACAGCCCAAGTCACCCTCTGGATGCTTTGCTCATCGCTGTCCTGGACCTGGAGCTGTCACTGCTCTGTGATCTGCGCCAGAGCTGCTGCCTCAGAATGAAACTTGCTAGTGCCAGCAGCTCAAGGCCTGGCACAGGGCATGTGGTGGGAGTTGGCTGCTGTTATCACTGCCGTTTGCACCAGGTGGGAGACGGAGGTGCTGTCACCACTGGAACCACTCTGTGCCCTGGGCTGGATCTGACCCACAAGGAGCCCCATAGTCCGGGTCTGGCTTGGGCCAGGAGTTTGGTACCCCTGCTGTTTACCAATTAAACAGTAGATAATCATTAAAAGGCTTTCAGAAAATGAATTAAGAATATTTTGATGAAAGAGCTAAAGACGACAAAGGCTGAAGCTTCCATTATGTCTATCTCCCCCCCCCCCAGTGGCTAATTATTTTTACACCCCCCCCCCATTCTGAAACAAACAAATCACATTTCTGTTTGTACTGGTGGTACCATACAACAGGTTCCGTTTATTTACAAGCCATTATTTGGGCATGCTTGGGAGTACATATTTGATGTAATACCATGAACTAGAGCCAGAGGTATCTACAGTTACATCATTGAGACTGGTGGGAAAGAATGCTGTGCAATTCTTATGCCATTACTGGCTTACATTCCTTTCATTATGTAACACTTGTTACACTGACAATTTTATTTTTAAAATGGACAGAGTCTTTTTTCTGTGTAAAAAATCAGCCTTACCCATTTCAGAAAGGTGGTATAGGAATTGGGAACCTCTCATAAACCAGGAACAACTGTTCTACCCTTAAAATTATTTTATTGAGATAAGTTTAATTTTTACTATGGTCTTAAATATTTTCCTGGAACTTGAGAAGATTTTGCAGTTGTACACATCCACCAAATATTTTTGTCTGTCACCTTTCAGAGAGGAACTGAATTGACTTGAAATATAATTCTCACTGTGGGAGTGATAAAATGTCACAGCGACAAGGAGTCTGTTAAAATAGTAGATGTACTGTATACTGTGTACTGTATACTGGCCTGACTGAAATAATGGATGTGGCAGTCACCCTAAGGCATTTCTTCTTGTTAC